TTGAGCATATTTGATATTTTAGCACAAAAGTGGCTCGACATGGACAAAAATCTTAAATCCTTCTTCGTTCTGGGTTTGATTTACTGCTAAATGCAGCAGCACTTTGTTTATGATCAGTTTCAGTTGCACTTCCTGCTTGTTTGAGAAAATAAATGAAGCTTTAAGAAGTTTTATTTCTGGACTTTACTTATCATCATCGTCATTAAATTGAAGTTGGACAGATGACTTGAATATGACTTGAAAATTCAAAGTTAAGGACTTCCACATCATTGACTTTGGACTTGACTTGAGACTTGACTGGAAAGACTTGACTTGCAAAGCAATGACTTGGTCACACCTGTTTACAAGGTTACATTTCTATCCAGTCCAAATGCCCGTTTAGACTTTCTATATGGGGCAACGGTGGCACAGGAGTTAAGTGCTCGCCCCGTAATCAGAAGGTTGCAGGTTCGAGCCTCGCTCAGTCTGTCGCTGTCGTTGTGTCCTTGGGCAAGACACTTAACCCACCTTGCCTGCTGGTGGTGGTCGGAGGGACCGGTGGTGCCAGTGCTCGGCAGCGTCTCCTCTGTCAGTGCACCCCAGGGCAGCTGTGGCTACATCGTAGCTCATCCCCACCAGTGTGTGAATGTGTGTGTGAATGGGTGAATGACTGATTATGTTGTAAAGTGCCTTGGGGGGTTCCAGGACACTAGAGGGCGCTATATCAAATACAGGTCGTTTACCATTTACCATTTAATGGTCTTTATTACATGGTGTTTCCACACCGTAGGACAATTATCACTGTTGGAAAATCAAAGCTTTAAAGCTACAATAGCAAGCCTGCTAAACAAGCTAGCCTAAAACATTTTTCCTAATAGTACAGCTATAAATATTTTGTGGTGATAAAAAACAATAATAATTAAGAGGTTTTCTTGCATTTGTATAAAAATCTCCACCAATAATACAGCTCAGACTGAAACCAACTATTGGACCATCCAGTTGTCTGTCTCTCCAAACCACCACGCTTCTGCATTTTCCTGGGTCCTCCACTCATTATACGTGCGAGCATTTAGCAACAGAACACCACTGGTGTGAGAGGTTCTCCACTCAATAATACCAGGAGGGTAGTTTTCCTTTGTTTCTTCTTCGACCTTGTTTCCCCCCAGAAAGAGCCGCAACCTTGTGCACTTACTTGATCACTGTTGAAACACAGGTAGGAGGGAGATTGAGGGTGTGAAGAGCACATTGACAGCTTCAGTTGTTTACCTCACCAGGTTAAGATCACTAGTCTGAAGGTAGGGCGGGATTCACAGCATCTATCTGCATTCCTTCTTCTCGCAGCTCAAGGCTAACAGGGTGCGAAAATCAGATAAGAAGCATTGTTTGGGGCAGGCAGAAATAACTTCCTCTCTGCCTTTTAGTTTTTAACTGATGATTCGTTCTCCAGTTATTAGGTTTTGTAATGAATTAAATTACATGTTATTTAATAAGCCATAAGGCGTCGGATTCCATAGGAAATATGAAATCCACCTCATGGAATGTGAGGTTATTTAAACCAGAAGATTGGATCTTTTTATTGCAGGGATTAGATAACAGCTTCGTATTCTCTCAGAGACAACAGAAGAGAGAGAGAGTCAAGTTTAAAAGTTAAGAATTTTATTACTAACAAATTAAACCAGACTGACTTTAAACACTACATGTATGGTGTAACTAAAGTGGATGAGACGGTGAATTGGATGATGTGTGATGTTGCTCAGAACCAGCAAATCAGAAGAAACGATTAGTTCTGATGGGAACTGAAGGTGATGTCTTCGCGTTAAGCTTTGGTTAGGAGATTCACAAACACATCCGACGCCATTTGCCGGTCTACCTACCCTGGTGGATGCCCCCGTTAGATCAGGAATGTCGAGGTCCAACTTGACCTTTTCTGGAACCGAGCCGGTAGGAAAAGCAGCGGTTGCCGACCAGACCAGTCTGTGAGATACTCCCGGGTCACGACAATTTTATTGGCATCAGGTGAGACCCGAACCTGGGTCTTGATGGTTCAGCTTTAATTCTGAAAGGAACCGTTGCAGCAGTTTGAACAGCAACAAATTTTTCAGCTTGTCATTGGTTCTTTTGGTTGAAGAGGAGAGTTGCGGATTGGCCACTCCGACACTTTCTCTGGAACGCTTTGAACTGGCGTTAGAGATGACGTGGCATAGTTTTATACTTCCGATGTTTTGGTTTATGGTCGAATGAAAAGTTGAAGAGTTACCAAACACCATCAAAACCACACCTCCGTCAGATCTGTCAGATTCTGATTGGATCAGTGAAAGTAATGTGTCATGTCTTTTAACGCAACGTGAGATCAGTCCTGATGGAACATTTAAAATCATATTACTTTTATATTCTATAGGATTATAATAAAGTAATTAATATTTTGATTTCACAGATTGGTCACATCTTATTTATTGACTAACACGTGGTTAGATTAGCTTTATTAAAATAGAGTTCTTTGATTAATTTAAAGAAAAGAGTCCATTCTTCATTCTTCTGTTGAGCTGAAAAGAAGCAGGTTAGAAGGAATGCATGAGACCTTGAGACCATATATCATGCAGACTAGTCCTGTGTCACAGGAGAGGGGGAAAACAGTCATTTCATTCTTTTACAGTTTAAACTTGTCCATACTGTACAGTGACTTTCTCAAAGATCACATCCATTTTGCGCACTAACACCGGGATCGCAGCTAGAACCTCTAGCTTGCGATTCACCTCAAGCAGCGTCCAAGTCTGAGCAGTCTCCACACGGCTGAGACTTTCCACAGGTACAGGTGGCACTTCAATCGCCTCGACTTTCCAATTTTCCCAAATACCATAAAATATCCCACACCAGTTAGAAGAATTCCAGTAATTACCAGGCCAAAAGTCCATGCATCTTCAATGTCCTCCACAGACAACTGGGAAAGGTATATATTATTCCACTTCTTCCAGGAATCCAAAATATACCCCACTGGGTGTGTTCCATCCAGGCAAGTAGGAGACCCCTGCTCCGTTCTGACCAGTTGACCAAATCCATGATTTCTTACAAATGTATTTTTCAGGAGGAAGCAGAGAAGCACTCTGTAGGCAGACAGAACAAGAGCCTTGTGAAAAGATAAGGGAGGAGAAAAGAGAAGCGTCTGTACTCTCCGAGTGCCAGAAGAAGAGCGAAACTCATCGCCTTGTTTACTTTCATTTTCAATATAGTTGCCGGCTGGAGCTCGACAGTAATTTCCCACAAGATCATGACACCTCCCTCTGTTGCTCCAAGACGTGACACACATTCACAAGTCCGACTTTGCGGTAATAATACTACCAAGCGCCATGCCGCAAAAGCACGTTCATTGAACACGCCGTGGTGGCGGTGGCGGTACAGGATCTGCTCATGTGCAAGATCGGCTCGTGGTCCTTCGACTGCTGATGACATCAAAGTAGTTGATTGGCTGAACATGAACCTTACGGAATTACGTAATCACGTTACGTTGTTATCACGTTACGTTGGTCCAGGCAAATCTTTCTGTTGGAAAGATGGACAACTTTTACAAAGAAATCCATCATTACCTCTTTGAAAATACACTTTTAGCATAGAGCTGCATGTATATTAGGGCTGAACGATAAACTGCATGTGCAATTAAATTGCGATGTGACAAAATGAGATCTTCTAATCGCAAAGGCTGCAATTTGGCAGCGAGTGGTTAGCGCAATGCTAATATACATGGAAAAACCCATAGGAATGCTAATGCTAATATCACCGATTACATTCTTACAAATTATGAATTAGAAATGTGCCAAATGATTACATTTGGAGTCTAATAGAAAGTAAAACGACCATCAATCAAATAAGTACAGACAGGTATTTTAGTAAAGCCAGAAAACTTTTAACTCCAGAGTTTTAGCTAGCAGCTATGAGCGTAACTGAACTACGCATGGACAAGACGTCAAAAACTCTAAACACAAAATACTTCAATAAACGGGACACACTTCTTTCCTGCAAATACAATTTCACAGGTGTTGCTATAATATCTATGATCCTTCAAGGGATGTGCTCAAAGAGGAGTTCAACATTATGAATACAATATAGTGTTTTATTTTACAAATACCATTATAAACTTACGTCGTAAGAAACATTATTTTAATAACGAAACTGCAAAATTCTTTCCAACAGTATAGATGTGTAGTGTATTTTGTCCGAGTGGGTTTGCCGTACTTTGACGTCATCGGCAGTCGAAGGGCCCCGAGCCGATCTTGCACCCGAGCAGATCCTGTACAGACACCGGCATTATGCTGATTTGCTGGCCTAATGTGTGTCTTCTAAAAAGGGCTAATAAGAGTCCCAAATACCTGTTTAATTATGTTCTCTGGTGTAGGAGTATTATTAAAACATGCTCTTTGGCCCAGATTAAAATGTCCAAATCAAGTGTTATTATAATTATATAATAAATACGAACCTGGAAATATTATTTTAGCGTTTTTTTTTCTTGACATGTAAGCTTTAATCCCCAGACTGGTACACACATTTTATTTTTCTAACCTTCCATCTGTTTGTTACACAAACACATTTGCACCGTGAGGGATCCAGCTCCTGAAGACTTAAATCAGCAGGCCGTTTCCCGCCTGTGCTCCAGTTTCCAGGAGACATCAGAACTTTTTAAAACACTTCAAAAAATAAAAGAGGAGATGAGAAGTGGAAATGATTGACACTCCCAGCTGGGAGAAACCTTTTCATTCTCAATTCCACTCCCTTAAACTTCTCTCTGAACATAATTTATTTTATTAATGTGAAGAATCTTTTTGAAACATAAAGCCTCCTCTTATATCTGCGTGATTATTTATATTTTTTTGTATTTTTTATCAACAGATTTTAAAATCCGTTCTGTTCTCACTTCCTTTTTCAGCAGCTTTCTGTCTTTTCTACATCTCTGTCTGCTGCTTTTCTTCCCCTGCTCCCAGGATAACTGAAAACCAAGTTTTTTAAACATGTTTTTCTTTTTTCCTCATCAGGACTCTGACAGAGCTATTGAAGCAGCCAGGAGAGGCCGGGGTGATGGACGGAGCCGGAGTTCATCATCCTATCGGGACAAATGGGATTGCTACCAGGACGCTACGCTCCAACATGGGTAGGTTTGTCGTGTGTGTAATGCATGATAATTAGCAAATATGGTGGCGTTTCCTCACATAAGATGGCTTTGATTTATTGGTGAAATTTGTCCAACGGACATTTGATTTGAAGGTGATTTCAGAATCCGATGATTTAAATCTAAGTGATGACAATGAGGTGTGAGCGTTATCTAAAGAGCGGTGATCCATCACTGTCCCACCCCACAACTCATGGTTGCGGTGCGGATTGTTTCATGCCACATAAACGCGAGAGCTCCGAAGCAGCTCAGGGCCTCTCAGACCTCCACTGGTGTTCAGGTGATCAGGTTTCAGGTCAGCCTTCCAATGATCAGAGCACTTCACCCCATCAGACTCTTTTTATTTACACCACCAGAAACCACACACACACACACACACACACACACACACACACACACACACACACACACACACACACACACACACACACACACACACACACGTTCTGGTGGACCAATAGCTGAGGAGGAGTAGGGACACACAGGTCACATTTAATTAAGATGTAATTAGCTGTTCCGGCTCCAGACCCATGGAGGGAGAAATGTGTGACCCATCTGCCTCTTTACACCTCAACCACACACACACACACACACACACACACACACACACACACACACACACACACACACACAGTCTCCTCTGCAGTCCGAGGACTTGTTTGCAGCGAACCTGTTGGGATGCTCAGCGCACCGGGATCCCCGCTGCCTCTCCGTTTTTTCCGTCCAGCTGGGATGAAAACGTTCTGGTCCTGTTTGAGATAAACGCCTTCCGCTTTGGGCTCAGCTTCTCCACCTTTGATTAGATAAAAAACACGGCTTCTACAAACGCACAGCTCTGGTCCCGCTGCCACATGGTCAGGTTTGAATTATTCCAGTTTTGTTTCCAGCACAAACACTCCAAGTGTTTATTCTCACACCGAGACAAAATAAGCGACTTCTTTAACTTTCATCTTCGCACCGCTGATTAAAATAAGTTCCTGGCCTCATTTTCACTCCCCCCTCTGCTTATTAACACTATTTAATTACCCTTTTTCCTTATTTATTTCTTACTTTCTCACTTTTCTCTCCTTTCTTCTCCCTCATCTATTGTTTTATTTTTATCTCCACTTTTATACATGGAAGCAGCGCATATTTATATGAGGAATAAATCATACATTTCTGGTTCCAACAACTATAGAGTTCAGTAGACAGATGCAAACAAACTAACCCTAACCAATCCCAGGTGTCGGATCAGGGTCGTGATGAAGACATCTTTCATTCATTCTGAACCAAATACAGAAAGAAAAACTCCTCATTGAGCATTTCTACCAGATGCGTAAACGTCACGTAAACTGAAAAAAAGGGTTGGCCAAAATGTTGTTTTCATGTCACTTTATTTTATTTTTAATGGTGCAAATTTTTAATTACTAGAAAGTTCTTGAGAAAAAAATGTCATCTGCAATCAAAGTCAGATTTAAAAATAAACAATGTAGACGAGGAAGTGAAGCAAGGGTGTGAAACGCAAGATAAGGTGGTGTGTGTGTGTGTGTGTGTGTGCGTGTGTGTGTGCGTGTGTGTGTGTGCGCTGTAGTCTGACAGGGTCGGCTAAAGGTGATGAAAGCCACTCAGATCCGATGAAGACGTCCTGATCCTGCTGCGCCAGCCGTCATATAATCAGCTCTTAATGAAACACGTTTAATCCTCCAGGCCACTCAGATGGAGAGAGAGTCAGAAACAAAGGGATGAGCGGAGGATGGGAGCAAAGGTTAGCAGATGGTGGCGTGTTTACAGGTCAGAGTGAAACTCTTCTCAGAGAAGTTAATTGATGCAGCTAACAGATTTTAAAGGGGACTCGTTGTTATCGGGCATTCCTGCATCCTGTTTAAAATCTGTTAAACTTAGACGCGTTTTCCTCATTCAAGAGTTTTTGCTTTTAAGTTTTTAGAATTGTATCAGAATTTCAGCTAATTTCCTAAAACCAATGCTTTTTTCCCTGTTTGCGATAGTGAACGAGGTGTTCGCCAACGAAGCGCCTCTTAGAGCCGGCTCCATCTCCATCTTTTCCTTTCTCTGTCCTTTTCTCTCTCCGTGTTTAAGCTGCACATGGTTGGTCAACTCCTCGTTGAGCCCTCCACTCTACTCCTCGTCTGCAGCAAGCAGGAGGAGGAGGGGAGGAGCAGGGCATGCAGACAGGCATTGGTGCAAACTCAGAGCAGCGGGAGGAGGAGGGTGAGAAAGGGGAGAAAGAAAGAGGCCACAGAGAGGTGAGAACATGAGTTAAAACAGGAAATGTAGCCAAATTTGGACGCATTTTACCAATATAGGGAGCTTAAGGCACTTTTGCCTCATGGGTCCCCAGAAGAACGAAAAAATGTATGCAAGTCAACGGGGCTAAAAACGCTATTTTCTAATCCGCTTTGCCTTAAGACCTGGATCGCACATATGTTGTGCTGCAAATTAAATGAAAAGTAACAATGGGAGTTTCTACCATGCCAGTCACGTGCTTTGAGATTTTTCAGCTTGTAAATGTTCATAATTAGCATGACTACAAACTAGAAATCGGCACGGCGCATTTGTGACGTCACCACATAATCTCCTCTCCCCTAGAGTAGCTGCTACTTACCACATGACCAGATTCATGCTGGTTCTTTCCACCTGTGGGAAATTTGCTGAACTTACAGCCATTTTCCCTCACTTTTCTCTGTGTCTGGTTCGATGTCATCACTTTCGTGAAGCGTATTTGTAGTCCTGGACGTATTTTCACGCAAAACCTAAAATAGCGTTCCCCCCTGTTGGAAAATAAGCGCATTCTTGGTTTCAAAATGCGTCTTTAAACTTCACAGACATCACATGTGAAATCCATGGCACAAAGCAAGCGGAATTAGAAAATAGTGTTTTTAGCCCCGTTGACTTGCATTCATTTTTTCGTTTTTCCGGGGACCCGTGATGCGGATGTGACTTAAGCTCCGTATCGATAATTCAAAGGAAGACTGTGAACTAAGCAATGCAAATATGACTTTTCAAGAAGGCTCTTCAATTTTTATTGTGAGATAATCTCAGCTCTTCTAAGTTGTTTACCTGTAATAGTTAAGTCTATAAATATTGAACTTACAGAGTTTATTTTTGTTATTTAAAATTAGTTTTTGTTGCACTAAAAGTTATTTAAAGGGATACTTTGCAACATTTTCCTATTTTTAAATAATTTTCTTGAGCCAGTATGTGCTGAAATGACCCTTTACAGGGTTGATGATAAGGCAGTCAGACCCCACCGCCCTCTGTCACCAGAATATCACACTTGCAAGTTCAGAGTGGCGGGCCGCTGTTTAGCTGACATACCTGGTGCTGCAGTCATCTTCCAGCACATTTCCTGCACGTTTTAGATCATGAGCACATCTGATGTGTTTGATTTAGCGATGAATCCCTTCTGCAGACGCTACTGACGGCTGGGGAGACGTTTCACACAACGAGGAGGTACGTTTTGCTTTTAGTTCTAGTAAACGGACACTAGAGGTGCTAAAAACAAGCTAAAAATCCCCAGTCTGCCTTTAAATAATAAAAAGTTTTATTTTTTTTTTAAGTTGTAGATCGGACAATAATTTCACACACATTTTACATCATTTCTGGTGATAAATTTATTTAAAATATAAATAAAAATGTGAGGAGCCGTTTGAGAGCCGAAAAAGCCGATTCGTTTTAGTGATCCGAGCCGTAAGAACCGGTTCTCTTAAAAGAGCCGGAGTTCCCGGCACTAGTTTGCAATGTCTCAGATAAATGAGGCACACTAATAATGTTCACGGAAGAAAAAAAAAAGAACAAACTTTTTTTAATTCCTTCATCACTTCATTGTATTACTTTTTTAAATGACCAAAACGCAAGAATTATTTTTAGAAGACAGCTGCACTGCTGTAATCATCATCATTATTATTATTTTTTTAAATAACCAATATTAATGGGATATTCAACGGACTTTTGCAGGATGTCAAAGATACAGGTCAAAGAGACTCAAAGCATCGCTGACTAGAATAAAAAACAAGGACTAATTCTTCAGTTTCCTCTCTGAGAATAAAGGAAATGCCCTGATCTGCCGCCTCCTTCTCTTTGACTCCTTTCTTCTCATTTTAGGAGAAGAATGAAGTTTTAAATGGAGGCAAAATAATTTGCTGAGAAATAAAAGGGAAGAAAGGAAGGCTGTCAACGTCTGATGTCACGATTAAACTGGTGGGATGGGAAGTCTTTGTGCTGATCAGTTATTTCAGGAGGGGAGGAGGGGGATTGAACAGAAGTCATGGAGCATGTTTAAATGTTACTGAAAGTGTTATTATCTGTTATTATTAACCAGAGCTAAAACATTAAGAATTATAAAATAATAAAAACCAAGTCCGCCCAAATCTGCTGATAAACTGTGGAAACGAGAGTCTAATCATTCTGGAGACTGGTGTGAATTTATTATTTTCGTGTTTTAATGCATCCGAGGTAAAACATTCATTTTCAGCCTGAAACTGTCAGTGTGGCGCCCTCTTTAGGTTAAAACTCTGCACTACATCTTAATTTAAATCAGCTATCGCTATTGGCTAAGAAGAACCCTGTAACGTTGCTGGTACAATATGATGTCAGCTGCACAGCGGCAGTGTAAAAGCAGCCGAGTTTTGGGCTGGGCCACTCCGTAGTGAGTCGGATTAGCAACAAAAGTCACAAACCGATAAGGATCAGGGTCGCATAATCCAACAAAACCTTCCTCACATTCCGCTGTCCTCAAATGACCTAAAATGACTCTTCTGAGGCAAAGGAGCTAGCAGTGCTATCAGAGAAGTGCTGCTTTTCCCCATTCTGAGCTGTGTGTGTGTGTGTGTGTGTGTGTGTGTGTGTGTGTGTGTGTGTGTGTGTGTGTGTGTGTGTGTGTGTGTGTGTGTGTGTGTGTGTGGTTCTCTGACAGAGTCTCTGAGCGGGGGTGTGGGTCTGTATGGAAGTTGGTGTCACTCACGGCTGAAGCTCCGCCTTCTCGGTCCTGTTTTTCAAACAGGAAGTGTGGGTGGAGTAGGACTCTGTAGAGGGTGACTTGCTCTTTAGAAAAGGCCTACACTCGTGACTTTAATGCGTGCCATGTGGTCTCTAGTTTGTTACCAGTGCGTTTGTTCAGCCTCAGCGGCTTACACTTCATCGAGGACATGTGCTCCTGTCAACACATATCAGCCAATCACAAGGCAGCAATGCAGTGCATTTAAGCATCTAGGTGTGGTGAAGATGACTTGCTCAAATTGAGCATCAGGATGGAAAAGAACGAGATTTTAGTAGGGATGCACCGATCAGGTTTTTTGCTGCCGATCACCGATACCGATATCAAAGAATGCTGATCACCGATACCGATCACGTGGATTGGCCAGAAATTTTCTACAACATTATAATGAGTGCTACAAACTACATAATCTGGGAATAAAGTAACCTAATCTAAAATGGTCTGTATTAGGGTTGTCACGGTGTGAAAATTTAACCTCACGGTTATTGTGACCAAAATTACCACGGTTTTCGGTATTATCGCAGTATTTTTTTAAACGTG